CCCTATAAAAGTAGTCACCAAGGTTAAATCTGTGGTAACAGGACAATTTTAATTATATATTAGGACCCCTCATTCAATGTATTTTCATATTCTGTTATATCTCGAGTGCCATCAATAGCCAAATTTGTACAATGTTTTTTGTTTTAGAAATGAATGTTAATATTTGTGCAATTAGCAACCGTGAAAATTTTGATGATAATTATTAATTTACACAAAGTAAGCTAGAGTGGAGGGGTGGAGGGGTGGATCGTATGTGATTCAATGTGCAGCAAAGGGGGATTCATTTTTGGTCAATTTTTGCTTACATACTTTGCGAATAATTTTGAACTATTTACGAAAATAAAGTAAATAAAAATTTTGCTTTAATAAAGACTGTATTATATGTTGATTCTATACAGTAATAAAATTAATATCGTGTTTATAGAAGGAGAATATTTGTATTATAAACTTGTAATTGTATTCTTTATTAAAAATTAACATAAAATTAATATACTAATGAAATAAATGAACGATTCTTCAAATAAATAGGTACTTTAAATATGAACATGGCTCTAGAATTTGAAAAAACAATGACAGAATATTTTTTACATTGGTTAACTAGTAAGTTATTGATATACTACTGCATATAGGTATAGGTTATGACAGATTGATGAGATATAACTACTGCATAAAGAATGCTTTGCAATGATAGCCATTGAAGTGCAATCATGTGAACCGATGACCATTGGTGACCACAATGGGTTGAATACATGATTAGTGCTAATGATTGCTTTGTAGAGGATATGTACACCCATTGAAAGACCACAACGAATATATTTCTTGTGAAAATAAATAAAAAGCATTTATTGCTTTTAAATAATTCAAAATTTTACTACTTTTGAGTAATTTTTGGGTTCAAAGTTTTTACAACCTATTCATAAGTAGTAAAAAATTTGAATTATGGAAAAGCAATAAATAGTTTTATTTATTTTCACCAGAAATACATTGGTTTTAGTCTTTTTTGATGTTTTCTGTGGAATATTTTAAGTGAAATAATAGCATTAATAAGCATTCATATAATTCAATATCATAACACAATACTACAGAATATAATGAGTTTGTGATTAACAATTAAAACATAATTTTCCCGGAATTTCAAATTACATAAAATTTTGCTTTTTTGTTTAAAAGTAAAATTAGAAAAGAGTTTAAATTTGAAATTAAATAAAAGTATATATTTAAGATAAAATGTTAAAGTTAACATTTTTTGCGATAAAATGATTGCCATTTATTTGATTTATCTGTGCATATGAGATGCATGTATGGATTAATTAATGAATTTATATAGAAACGAATGGTAAATGATTTGCATGACAACCACCATAGCATGGATTCAGTTCATTGCTTTCGTATAAATCAAATGAAACTCAAACAAAACAAAAACAAAAATGTAAAATAGTTTAGTGTCTCATAACTGGTTAATTCCAATCCTAGCGCCCATTAATTTAAATGTTGGCATTACATTACCAATCAGTTTCACGTATTTGACATATTTTATGCTAATCTTAGTTTTTCTTCTCAAAACTAAATTCAAATAAAAAATTAACAAAAACTGGAATTACAAGCACTTTAATAGCCCTGACTTATTAGTCACTAAGTCACCACTTATTGCAGACTCCGTGAGTGAATGATTTAAACAAAAAACCTTGATGATTACATTATACTGTATATAATATGTGGATTACAGTGTACTACAGTATACGCTATGTATTATATGCAGAGATGTGCACATTAACTACATTAACCACATTTACAACATATAAACCCTCAAGAGGTAAAGGGAGGTTGTTTTGGATTCATTTCAAAAAACTATCAAATATAGGATAACCATAAAATACCAAATGAGAAAATATACAATTTATAGCAATTTTATGTAATTCAACTCAAAAATTACTAATTTATTAAGTTTCACATAATTGCAGTATACACTATACACTATACACTATACACTATACACTATACAGTACACATTCAATATTCTAAGCATTCCAAATGCTAACATTTCTAATATTATTGCAATCAAGTTATGTCAAGTACATTATATAATATAAATATAGTCATATAAATTGCATATACTGTACAGTATAATGTATTCGAAAAAGTAAGTCTATGAACCACTATTAATAAGTATTGATCAATAAATAGGCTTTAAATTAATACTCTGGAAAAATTAATTATAGACAGCCTTATCAATAGATAATATAAAACTCAAAGCAAAATATTTAAAGTGTTTTATTTATCATAATTCTATTTATCACAACATATTGATGTCTCAGACTACAGTAGTTAACTTTAATTGAATAACAATCCATTTCGTTGTCGTCTAATTTTATGTTATTTAGACAATATTAATACAAAACATTTTATTTGAATAATTTATGCATTAAATCATTTATCATTTAAATATAAGTTAAAATATTGTTGTGATACATGTGTTATGATATTTATACATGTGTGACACATGTGATACATGTGTTGTGATATTGTTGTATTATGTATTATAATTTATAATCATATAAAGTAATTTATAGAAAAAGCTTTTATATTGAAATTAAATTTAAACAATTATAATTTTAAAAATTTAAAAGACTACAAAATCAATAAACATTAAACAAACTTATATTTTAGATCAAAAGAAAAGCATAAAGAAAAGAGTTTAAGATAAAAATATTATTTAGGATAATATCAGACATAAATTCATTGTACAGTACATTGTACAGTATACTATACTCCGTAATAATTAATAGTTTAACAAATCGTAACTCATATTATATTTGTATAAGTTGTATAATTATTAATAATAAAAGCTTAAATTGAATTTATAAGTTAATTTAGACTTGGATTATAATGTGATTATTAATAATCATTAGAAATAACATACTATTAATACTCAATTATTAATCTGTGGTTAATGCACCAAATTATTTATCTTGAATTGAATTTGTATTTCAGATTTAAAGAGTTAATCAGTTTTTATTGAGAAAAATCATATCTGTTAAGTTGAGCAATGAAATTGTAAAGGACTAAATAAATTCTATATTATACAATACAGTACTTTATATTGAATTATACATTGTTATAACATTGTATTGTACACAGTTATAGAATATACCCAAATTACACATTTTTATTGACAAATTAGACATCATGTATATTATGTCAGATAAATTACAATTATTGAAAAGATATAACATTTGCCTAAATAAGCATTTTAAACATAAAGAGCCAATCAAAGTGTTTATTATATGTATTGATATTGAATATAACTAATAAGTTATATATATATATTTCGGTAGTTTAGATATACAGCAACATACTTATACTGTATAAGTGTCGCAATGATATTAAAAATAATTAATAATATACAACTAATATATATTATACTTTGGAACTTATGTCTATATTTTGCCGATAAATTATTTTAATCGTCAATTTGCTTGAATTTTGAGTGAGTTTTATATCACTTATTATTAGTTTATAAATTAGATTTGTTTTCTGTTATAAATAATTAGTTTAAATAATTAAAAGAATAATTTATTTGAATATTCGTGTAATGTTTGTGAAAGTTGTTAATTGAATAGAGTTTTTGTGTGTATTGTATTAAATAATAAATATAATATATATTTGCCATTAAATGGTTGTGATGTGCGTGAAGAGCGGATCTTTTGGTCAATTATAACCATATAATTGGTGTTTAGAGAGCACTAAGAGTGGGGCGGGAGTTGGAAATGCTGTGTTAACTCAAACCTTATTGAGTTATAGCTAAGGTATAGCTAAGGTATAGATATATTCATCGCACTTACATATAGCCAGAGATTGAGTGCCAATCTCTCTGCAGCTCTGGCAAAGGCGGGGTCGGATTGGGTTTTCTTTTTGCTCAACAGTCTGGTGCTGTTGGAGACAAACCAACTATAAAACCAACGCTCAAGAGGGACACCGACTTCTTTGCCAACAGTGTCGAGAAGTGCCGGAAATCCCATCTCTACGACCGCTTCAGACAATCGACTGCTCGCTGTTGTCGGCCACCACTGAACCACCGATTCTCCACATTCACCACTGAATGCCCCATCAAAACATCACTTCTGAAGATTTGCAGTGAAAACAGTTTATTCTGTAATCTTATAATTAGTCAAAATGTTGGACAAAAGCATTTGCAAATTGTTGTGTGCTTTATATGTGTTATTTTTATTAGCGCTTATTAATCATTGTATTGCCAGTCATTTAAGCAAAAGCACACAAAACTTTGATCAAAATATATCCAATACTCAGCACAAGACAGGTCTTCAAAACACAATTCTTGATGAAGAAGAGAACTTAGAGGTAGCCCTCAAAAAGTTTATCGAAGCCTGGGATCGATCGCACGGCACTACCCATACCAACACCAACACTCATCACGACATTGATAGATATCATCGCAACCATCACAACAACTCCATCACTAATAATGAGCTAATTATAACATCACAGCATTTGGCCGCTAACAACAGCACCTCCACACCTGAGCAGCGATTGTCGTCACAGACCGGTGACAATCAGTTGCAGTCAGACTCACCCGACTCTGACTCGCCATTCATGCCCCCAATTTGGTCCAGATCCCTGAGAAACAGCGCCCAAACCTCCCATACCTCCGACACTTCCCTTTCGAGTAACGCACACAAGAGCAGCAACGAAGAGGACGAGCAGTTGGAGGACCTGACAGTGGACGAGGAGTTCAGTTCTCACAACTGCACCCGTTGTGTACTGCATGAGGAAGCGAAAAGTCGACGCCTGGAGACCATTAAAGTTAATATACTTAATAAATTAGGGCTCAAAGTTGCGCCTAATATCACAGGCAAATCATTGCCTCGTATACCACCTCTGCATCACTTATTAGATCGATATAATATGTTGGGAGACGACCCCCGAGTGTCTGGCCCTCAGCTGCTCAACAGCTTTATTGAAGACAACGATCACACCATCGATAAGGAAGAAGAAGATTTGGAAGAGTTCTTTGTAAACGCCGAGCGCTCCATCAGTTTTGCACAAAAACGTAAGCATTTCATTGACTAATGTTTCAATTGTTTCAGTTATAAACTCTTTACAAATATTTAATACTGTATTTTGTAATCATTTTAATAATTTGTTTTACCCTTAATTTTAAGTGATTATAGATTTATTGAATTTCTTAATTCTTGAATCTTACAAAACTGTAAATCCTTTGAGACTTTAATTTATGAATGTATACAGTGATAGTGCTTACAGTTCTTTGCATTCTTGCATTTGTGAAACATTGCATTAATACACAACCAAACCATAGTTTCACTCTATGCCAAATTATATTCACTATATGTCCAATGAATTTATTAAATTTCATGAAAGTGAATATGAGTTGAATATTAAATAGAATTATTGTCGAGAGAGAGAGAGAGAGAGAGAGAGAGAGAGAGAGAGAGAGAGTTTGAATTCGTTATCAGACAAAATTATGATAAATTGTTTTCAAACATATTATTTTGTCAGTCGTTTGGCATATAATCTAATATTAATATGAGAGAGAGAGAGAGAGAGAGAGAGAGTTTGAATTCGTTATCAGTGATCATATGGTAAACAAGTTTTTGGAAGGATCTGATCGTCCTTTCCCTAAATTGTCAATGATATCACAATTTGATTTATTAGACATCTCTTCGCATATTTAACACTATAGACAAAAAAGTTATTGCATTTAATGAATACTAATTTAATTTTGGATTTTGGACAAAAGTCGAAGATATTTGCTTGATACCTATACAATATTTGTATTACCGTAATAAGATATCAAGTCAATTTCAAACATTTGTCATTTCTACTATTTTTAAATATTTTTACATTATTTTTTATATATTTTTGATTTAATTATTAATTAATAATATTTAATTTCTTGGAAAAAGATTAATATATAAATTTTAAGATGAAATAGTAATGTGATTATTATAGGCAAATTGTTTGTGATTGATATGAGAGTTGTGAGTAATAAATTAGTGCATTATTATTGACCCAATTGTTGTTTAATTGATTAAATAAGGGAAACACAAACTAAAGCTCATTAAAAACGATTAGAAATCAAATACAGCTATAATTCATTGGTTTGACTAAATAAAAGTAGTACTAAAGTTATTAGAAATGTGTTTTTGACCACAAAACATATTATCTTCAAATATAATCTCTGATATAATCGCATCTTCACATGGCTTAAGACAGCACCGGGAGTAGAGAGAGAGAGAGAGAGAGAGAGAGAGAGAGAGAGCAAGTATGCGGTGGTAGTTCAAGAGAGCTGAGAGCTAGCGGTTTAGTTGTAAATCACATCGATTTGGACTCTTAAAGTGAATTATTCATAGAGTATTGGATCACAAATAAATATATTGTGAGAAATATGAGAGTAAACAACACGAACTCCAGTATTGAGTGTTCAGTAAAATAGGTCTTGAGATGTTTGAGATGTGGATACAATAAATACAATAATAAATATATAAATTTATCAGAACTCCTCTCAAATACGGATACTTTTACTGTAAGAGCTGTGAGTGTTTCAAAAGTACTCTCCGGTCACCTGAGGCTAAGTAATGGGACAGCAATGCTGGCACTGCTCGGCATAATAGGATGGGATGGGATGTGTTATAACTTATTGGTAATAACTGATAATAATATATTCTGTGAAAAGATCATGAAATGAAAAATGATTATCCCTTGTAAGCATTATAATGGTTTGTATAGTTGTATAGGCGCTACATATGAAAGTCTTTGTACTCGTATTGTATGAATCAATGAATCCAATTTCATGTTAATTACAACCATTATTAGAGCCCCTAATCTATATTTGTATGTTTGATGGTTACGCCACACCACCAGCACTATCACTTCAGTATCACTGCACTGGCAGCTGAACACAACAACACAAAAATCAAACATTTGTCTTCAATTCACTTTATTTGTTATGATTATTACATATGAGGGGAGAGTGGCCAAGGAGTTTGCAACCAATTACACCATCCATTCCTTAAATTATTAATTCTTTAAATAGCTCTCAATTTCCCATCTCTTGAAAAGCAAATCTTTTTATAACTTATGTTTTGTTTGTATGCAACCATTCCTCCAAACCCCCTGAATGTGTTGACCTGGCTACTCTTATAGTTATGTTTTATTTGATTTATAAAAGTAGAAATATTTTAAGCTGTTTTGAATTTTTTACACTTGGATTAGTGCATAAGCCAATGCTTTCTGAGCTGAGGGTCAATCTGAGAGGTGAAGGTCTTTCGCTCACATCACTTATGCGTGCGATTGCTATTCACAGCTGGACAGCACTCTACCATACCTTACCATACCTTACCATACCTTCCATACCATTGCCACTGCCACTGCCTGTGCCCACACATTCACACCATTGCCTTTTGAATACACAAAAAAATACAAAAAATGTCTCTGTTTTTGGAGAGAGAGAGAGATTTGGTATCACTTTTTAGTGATTGATTCTCATACAGTATATATTTAAGCAAAAGTTTTAATATTATCAAATGTTGATCTAACGTTTCACTTAGGTTTTGAAAAAATCAAATGTTTTGATGATAGCATAGGATAAGGATAAAGAGACACAAAATGCTATTTTAGAAACGATTACCAAAATAGAAATGATAGAGAATTATAAATAGTTTTTATAAATAGTATAATTATAGAGGTTGTGTTTGAATAGATGATCTTGATCTCTTTGATCTCATTGATCTCATTGCTTGTTCACAGCTCCGAATACACTGAATATACCGCCAGAAGTGAAGTGTCAATACTTTAAATTCCCGTCAAATGTACTCAACTCTCACGTAACTAAAGCGCATCTCTGGGTGTTTGTTAAACCAACAAACCATTTGCAGGACACCAATGCCTGGATTGTCATCTACCAGATTGTCAAACCGGAGACCGGCAATGATTCGCCCACACTTTTACATGTAATTCACTTTTATAGCATAATTGTGTTGCCATTCACTTTAATACTATTCTAACTTAAGGTTAGGGCCAAGAAAATCGACGTGAGCTCTAAGAAAGGAGTTTGGGTTCAAATAGAACTTAAAAAATTGGTTTCCCAGTGGTTCAGACATCCCAATGAAAATTTGGGACTCGCTATACATTCATACGATAAGGACGGCAAAGAGTTGGCTGTGATTGAGGTTAACACTAATGAAGACAATTCACTGGTATTTCTTCTCATTTTGTCTATTAGTTTCAATATAGCACTGAACATGTCATACAATATAGCACCAATGTAATATTTGGTTATGTAATGTTATGTGCATTTTCACTATACCTGTATAGTTTTTTTTGTGTCTAGCTTAATTTATTGCATAATTTTAGTAAATTTATGAATGTTTTATCGGTGATAATAATAATATATTTAATGACTGCTTTCATCAACAATTAGTTGCCATTCATTGAAGTGAAAGTTGAGTCGAAAGCTGCGAATAGGAAGAGACGAATGGTTGGTCTGAATTGCGAGGAGAACTCCAATGAAGTCCGTTGTTGTCGATACCCATTGACTGTTGATTTTGAAGAGTTTGGCTGGGATTGGATTATAGCACCGAAACGTTATGAAGCAAATTATTGTAGCGGCGAATGTCCCTATGTTTTCCTCCAGAAGTACCCGCACACACATCTCGTACAACAGGCCAACCCCTCTGGTTCTGCCGGTCCCTGTTGTTCACCGCGAAAGATGTCCGCGATTTCTATGTTATACTTCGATGACAACTATAATATAATTTATGGTATGTTACCAGGGATGGTAGTCGACCGGTGCGGCTGTTCTTAAATATTTTCTCAAAATTTATATACGAAATAAATTTTAGTTGTTTTAAAATACTATTTCTATTTTAAATACCGTATAACAAAGCAGTTAATATTAATTAGTGATTACTAACTTAACCATTGCTTCTTACAATCAATCAAAACAAACTCAGATTTAGATTAATATTTTTAATTATTTTTATATTAACCGACAACTAATCATATATCGGATATTTTTTTTATTTAGTTTTAAATTTTACAATCAAATATTATTTCTTAAAACAAAAATTTAATTTGTTGAATAAATTTATTTTAAAAATTAGTTTTACATTAACAACATAGTTAAACTCACTATCCGATACATATTTATATCATTATTTATAAGTATTTGATTCATTGAAATTCATAACAAATTAACTGATCTTTTTTGTTCTCACTTTCAATTTCATTATATTATGTTAATTCAACAAATCTCATCAAAGTTATGACAAATCTAGGCTTTAGTTTTAATAAATTTTTAAAATATTACCAGTTTTACAATTAATGAATTAGACAATAAGTAAAACAAATTTGATTTCTTATTTAATTAAATATACACCAAATGAATTATACTTTATTTCAATCACAATACGATCACAAACAATATTGCATTAAAAGACATTTAATCAATCTCTTATAATAGTTACTATCGATATAATAATAATACCATATCTTACTATTAGATCTTGTTATACTGATATGAATAAATTGATGACTTTATATGCATTATTGTGAACAAAGAATTGACAATTTGTGACATCAATTTTGTTTGACATAAGGTTTAAGATTTTTGTGATTTAATAAGAATTCATATCTAATAATTATAATCAAACTACTGGTGATTATATACTTTTAATTAATTGTAAATATTTTTATCAATGATGATATACAAAAGTATATCCTATTCTTTAATTTTATTTTTTTAAATTAAAAATAATTACTTGAATTAAAATTCAATAGCTATGTCAATCCATGGATTTGCATAATAAAAGTAATTAAAGTAAAATTTGTTGGTTTACTTAAAAAACAAAAATTGTAAAAAGAAATAATTTAAGTGATCATTTAAATGATTTATAATATAATTCATATAATAATGTGTAATTTTATTAGAAAACAAAAACATAAAATGATAATTCTAATGTTTATATTTGTTAGAATTTAATTAGTAATTATAATTAATAATTAACTAATTAATAATAAAATGTATTTCTTTTTAACAATAAACGTATTATATAATTTTAAAAATGTATGCATATTTTCTAGTTTATTGTGGCATTCAATATGATTAAATTAACTCAATTACACAATAATTTAACAATTGGATAAATTTTAGATAATAACTTACAAATATTAACTGTTCATAGTATGAACTTCATACATATTTATCTTACAATTAAACATAAGATAAAAAGATTTTATTAACTTTAGGGAGTATTTAAAAATCTTAATCCACCACAAATATTTACTAACCATTAGTAAAATTTAGATAAAATAAACAAATATAAAATAATATTTATAAGAGGCATGTAGAAACTAAATAATTAAAAAATTAACTTACTTTTTACAAACTATTTTTCTTAAGTTGGTATTTTAAATCTTGAAAATTTAACATAACAACAATGAAAATTATATATTATACTGTATTTAACCAGATATTAATTAAACAGAACAATAATAAAGTACATAATACTGTATTATTATATAGGTAATAATTAATTTTTAATTAAATATTTCTCTGTGTCTACGGTAATACAATACTAACTATAGTTCAATATTAATCAAACAGGTTACTAAAATAACATTAGGGTTGTAAACAAGTTGTAATCAACTGTAAGTAGCAAATTTTAATAAAATTAAACTCTTGCTAATTCTCATAAAAGATATTTCTTATATGTCTGTATATTTAATTAAAACTAATTTCAGTAAAAACTAAATTCCCCTTGAGTCATATAACATTAAATAATTAAAATTAGTTTTAATTAATTAGCAAGCTTAGCTCTATGTTTATGTATTAAAGTGTAGTGTAATGCAGTGAAGTAGGAATGTGGGGTCAAAAGGGTAAGCAATTTCTTGTACAAAGTTGAATGAGTACTTATTGAATGGCTCCTAAACAATTAAGTAATATTATTAACTTAATAATATGAAGTACATTGATATTTTTGTCTCCTATTCATTGATCATATGATTATGTGATTAAAAGTTTGACATTTTATGCCTTTTCCGTGTTTTGGATTTTAATCTTTTGAAGAGCATTAGAGACAATACATAAGTCGCCCTTCAGTTCACTCACCAAATCCATGATCTTCTTTGTATTACTCAATATCTCGACGCTTTGGGTGTAGGGATTATATCGGACACCAAACGGTCTCTTAATAGTTGCCGCAAATTCTCTAAACACACCAATTATTGAAGTCATTTGAATGCAATCATAACAAGTCATTAAATTATGAACATTAGACTAATAGTTAGGTTTTATCATTCACTAATTGGCAGTATAAAAATAATACAGCAATACACATAAGTTATATTACTATATACTGTATATTATATAATATATATATTAATAGTATATATCACACTACGGATACTACAGGTAAATGTGCTGTAACAATATACAGTAATACGGTATGTAATGTGAATGTAGGCTACAATGGCAATGATTACCTCATCTGTTCCTTCGCCTCATCGAAGCTATCGGTAAAGAAATAGTGGGTTTGGAAAGTAGTAATCATCGGAATCTGTTGACAAGTAATCAACGGATCAAAAGCCAACACATGAGCCGCTGGTGAGATGGCGTGCTGTTGTCATCATCATATGAAACACACATATAATACATGTAGTAACAAGCTCATTAATTCATCTTTATATCTGATGCTTGGATATAAAATGGAGATCAGAGAATGGATCAGATGTACAGTATTTTCTAACAATTATTGTTTACACTGAAAATGATTAACAAAATTATAACATAATTAACTATCTCTTGAAATGTGTTTATTTGATAATAAGCCGATTGTGGGGACAATGAATGCAAACCTGTGACCATAAAGAGATAGACAAAGTATGTAATACCTGGAGCTCAGCAGCACTGGACAGGAGTCCGGCGCCATATATCTTCATTTCATTGTTTTGTTTGCAAAGTCCGAACTCGACTGAGAAGAAGTAACAGGTGGCCAACTTGTCCACCTCCTCGTCATTGGCGCCCAGGGAGGCCAGACCTATTTCCTGGGAGAACTGTGCGAAATGTGGGTCAGCCATCAGAGCGCAATGACCTAACAATTCATGACAACAGTCGGGTTCTGTAGATAATCAACACTTTATTTAGCAATTCTTCAGTTTGCTTCACAATTAATTGTATCGCACCGGGAGTATAGAAAGGGTCGCTGGAGTGGCGGATATATTGCGTGCAATGAAATACACGAAATGCAAGTCCAGCCAAAAAGTCACGTGAAGAGAGGTAACCGGCCACTGGACGCAATTGAAACCCTGTTCTGTCTGACATTTATATACATAGTATTCATTACTTTTATATTATCACTCATTTATCAAAGTTCATAATTTATGAAAATAAAATGCAGTTATTTTATAATTACATTAATGGTGGTGAATCAATTAATAATTATTTGTGTGTGTGTGTGTGTGTTTCATATGATGATGACAACAGCACGCCATCTCACCAGCGGCTCATGTGTTGGCTTTTGATCCGTTGATTACTTGTCAACAGATTCCGATGATTACAACTTTCCAAACCCACTATTTCTTTATTATATTATTGAGTGAATCCTATTATCAGTTCATTTAATGGTTGATAACGAGAGAGAGAGAGAGAGAGAGAGAGAGAGAGAGCAATAGTTTGGTTACTTTTAAGGAAGAGTGAGACGTCTTCGAGTTGTGGCAGATTGTCTTCCCTATAACCGCAATGTTTGACGAGTAGTACAAAGTTGTCGTTAAACTCTTTGCACGCGTGCTTAGTGTATAGCTTGGTTAGTTTCCTATATATGATACCCCAGGTCTCTATCTATTCACATAATTCACAAAATATCTGCACATATTAATATTACATTTCTTATAAAAATAAGTTTTCAATTTATAAGTTGCTAAACATAACAGTAAATATTGATTGTAGACAAACAAACCTCTTTTTTAGTGTATTGAGCTCGAGGAATACGATCTCCACTTTATAATTGATTTAAATTTTTATCAATTTAATTAAGACATATTTATGAAAATATTGTTTTAAATGAAACATTACATACTGTTTATAATTAGTGGCCAAATCTATAAAATATTCCCTTCTCTTCCTATAAATAGGATCTTTGAATCCCTGTAAGATAAATGTGATATACATTCAGGGAAAAATCAAACAATGTATATTTGTTTTTATAAAGCTTGGATTTTATAAAATAAAAAATTAAATTTTAAAAATATGTGATATTCCTATATCTGTTAGAAATTTACAAAACTAATATCTGGGATGATTTAACGAAATGAGTCTTTCAACTCTTCTTTCAAATGACTGTAATAGTGCTAAACAGTACTGTACTGTCATATTGAAAGAAGAGTTGAAAGACTCATTCCGTTAAATCATCCAGATATAATACATTACACTCTTCTTTCATATGCCTTATAATACAGTACTAATAAGTAACTTGTAACTTATAACTTGTAAGTTATACAGTATAGTCAAGTGAAAGAGAGTTCATGTTAGTTCACCTCAGTTTGAGGTAGCAAAATGAGTAAAAAACTCTGAGCAGGTAAACCCTAGATAGAATAATTCATATATAATTCAATAAGAATTAATTCATTTATTGCCCCTTTAAAATTAATATAATGAATTGTCAATTATTAAAATATTGACCCTTTATTAATATAATATATGAGCAATAGTTTTAAAATTGCTTGATGGGATTTTTCTGTCTGATAGACACAATGTTATTTCAAAAATAAAAATTAGTAAAAAATAAGTTTAAAAAGGTAATTTCCCTAAACTACCGGATCCTTAAGTTACTGGTTCATGTACTGACTTTGTACAACATTTCTACAACATACACATCATTTAAAGAATATTACAATAATATTTAGCTTGATACAGTACTGATAGTCAATGTTACTAATTAAAAAATAATGAATAGATATACTGACCGGATGGTCGGCGTCAAGTTCTGAGCCATACATTAGTACTCTATTGGAAGTGTAGTCCAAATCTGATATTCTTCTGGGAAACCATGGCATCCCATTCTCTCCAAACAGTTCTGAATTGGTGTTCAATAATTAGGATAATGATTAGTATACCTGTGTATAGTAATTATGACCTATACCTGTATCAATGGAGGGCTGTGCCATTAGCACAGATAAGTGTCTCTCTTTGCTCTTAGGAGACGAGCGCTCAAATTCTTCGGAAGTACAGCCGTCCACCTCATGTCTGCAACACATTTATAACACATATTTGTCACTTCGTTCATCATTTAATCAATTTTGTCAAATAACTCGATCTACACTGTACTGTAGATTCTACAGTATAGATATAAGATTGGTGTTTATCTACAGTATATTAATATGTATACTAATAAGTAAACTATTGCCTAATATTACGGTAGTATTGTAAACCACATTTGTTTAGAAAATATACTTAAATTCATATATATTTCATGACTTAGTCTCACCTCAAATGATGAACTAATTGTGTCATCTTTTCTTTATCATCGCAATCGATGTCAACAAATATCTCAAACTCAGAATCTCTTCTCTTTGAACGCCGGGACTCAATGTGTTTGACATTTACATCCAATTCCTTTAAACAAGTGATTTAGCAAATAATGGGATATATAACACATTGTAGTTGTATTGACCTGAAATACACGGAGTGCCCGAACCAGCCCTCCCACCTGATTCTTCAGTGAAAATATGACTGCATTACCGGCCATTCCCGACACACTCTCGGGTTGTGTTGTTGTACAGGGATTGGGAGCACAGGTTGAAGCCATTGCTTCCGAACTGCCATTCGTTTCATGTGTTTCATCGATTTCAGTGATTTTGCGAATCTTTCTCTGATTCAAGTTTCGCATAAAAATCTGATTATATTTGTGATTATTTCAAATTAAAACTATTTAAATTTATTAATTTATAAAGGGATAATCTCATCACAACAAATATATTTATTAGTCTTTTTGAACATTTACATCTGTTTTATAAAAATTAATTGATTGTGCTATTTTTGAATATTATTGAATTCATTTTAAATAATCTCGTTATTTCTCGTAAACTCTGGACTTGTTTATAAACGAAGTTTTTATTCATCAAGATTATTTATAAAGTTAAATGAATATGGTTGGTACTAGTAAATAATAATAGATGATATAATATACATGGAGAGTACAGTATTTGCAGTCAAGCAAATGGACAAACAATTGAAAGGATGAGGACATACCTTAATCTCTTCCAAATATGAATCACTAAAATCAGGTAAACTGGCGGCAGATATAGTGGAACAACACTTTCTATTCTGGAAGTGTAGTCGTCTTAAGTGAGCCATTCTTCTGCTTAAAGTATATTTCTATAAGAAATTTTTAAGTTATTTTAAATGATTTAATTTTAACTTTATTGCAATAACTCTTAAAACGAAACTCAAATCCGGTTAACGAATATATATTGATTTTACCAAAAAATGAATTTTATTCGCAAAATAACTCAATTTGAAGCGAAAGTCGTTTGAACTTTGCTTTTATGTAAGAAAATGTCTTATCATTTGATACAAACTGTTTGATCCAAAGAAGTGTCAGAAATATAGTGTTGGATGAGAGCAACAAGTATTGGATATTCTATGATATACTGCAAAAAAGATCAATTTATGGCATTCCTGTGCGCACTCATTGTCACTAAGGTTTCTGATTCTCATTTTCATAATAAGAGTCAACCTTTTCTTCGGCACTTAGTTATCGAAAACTATTTTTCTCTTATTTTGGATTTTTTCTCCAAAGAGATAAACATTAATGACTTCAAACTTGTGCTCAATGTTAGAGCGGATCACAAAACGAGTGATAAAACGTTATATAATTTATGGACTTTTATAAAGAGTCTATATTTAGGTTTCCTATAAATCTATTTTTTCATTCAAATGGCAATTTTATTTAAAAGTAGTGAAATCAATTTATTCAATTAAAAACAATAGCAATTGATTGGTGCAATTGGAGAAATTTAAAAAATAATTTTTCATTTTAAATGTCTTGTTCTTTGAATTTCACATTTTATTGCTTTTTTAGAACCGAAGGGTTTACCTAAAAATATATCAAATTTAAGGTTAATATTATGAATAAATTATTGGTAATATTAATTACAATTCCAGGAACAGATTTGCCATCAATTAGATCCAGAAACTGAAGGGCTATTTCTTTGGCTACATTGATCTGAGCCTCGGCAGTACTGGCGCCCAAATGTGGGGTACAAATCACTTTGGGGTGACTTAACAGTTGGTTTCGTTTGGGCGGCTCTTCTTCATAGACATCGAGTCCGGCGCCGCCCACGTGTCCAGACTGGAGGGCTCGCAGGAGAGCCTCCTCATCGATGATACCCCCGCGCGCGACGTTTATCAGACGCACGCCTTTCTTGCACTGACCCAGAGTTGTGTCATTCAACAGATCTGTTGACAATGTTTTATATAATTAGACAAACGTGTGGTTCGTTTGAGACGAGACCTAACTTTTAGTCTGCGGAATGAGTGGCGTATGGACTGTGATGTAGTCGGCCTGAGGCCAGATCTGCTCCAATGGCAGGCTCTCCACATCAAATGTTTTGCTCACATCTGCCGGAACTAACGGATCAAATCCTATAGTCTTCATACCGAAGGCCTGCATCCTTGTGGCCACTTCTCGGCCAATACGACCCAAACCAACGATTGCCAGAGTTTTTCCCAACAATTCATTGCCTGAAAAGCTCTTTCGGTCCCAAACGCCACTCTTCAACGAAGCGCACGCTTGTGTCAAATGGCGAGAGAGCGACAGAATCATAGTGCAGGTCAGCTCAGCCGCACTTATGGTGTTACCTCCCGGAGCACTGCACCAGTCAAAGGACACACCATCAGTTCAAGTCATATCAATTATGTGCAAATAACTTATACTTTATGACAATAACCCCCTGTTTGGTGGCCGCGTCCACATCGATGTTGTCCACCCCTACACCCGCTCGACCGATCACTTTGAGATGTTTGGCCGCTTTGATCACATCTGCCGTCACAGTCGTGGCTGACCTCACGATCAATGCCTCGTAATCCTGAATACGAGATATATATTGATGAATACGAATGATTGATATAAAAACATAAGTTATAGTTATTATAATGATAGAGATTATTGGGTAATAATAGGGCTATTGTGTGGCATTCATACAAACCCTTATGGTTTCGATGAGTTGCTCTTTAGATAAGCCAGTCTTCACATCCGTCGAGACATTCCTCTGTCTCAGTATATCAATAGCCGATGGATCCACTGAATCACTGATNAGCGCACGCTTGTGTCAAATGGCGAGAGAGCGACAGAATCATAGTGCAGGTCAGCTCAGCCGCACTTATGGTGTTACCTCCCGGAGCACTGCACCAGTCAAAGGACACACCATTAGCTCAAGTCATATCAATTATGTGCAAATAACTTATACTTTATGACAATAACGCCCTGTTTGGTGGCCGCGTCCACATCGATGTTGTCCACCCCTACACCCGCTCGACCGATCACTTTGAGATGTTTGGCCGCTTTGATCACATCTGCCGTCACAGTCGTGGCTGACCTCACGATCAATGCCTCGTAATCCTGAATACGAGATATATATTGATGAATACGAATGATTGATATAAAAACATAAGTTATAGTTATTATAATGATAGAGATTATTGGGTAATAATAGGGTTATTGTGTGGCATTCATACAAACCCTTATGGTTTCGATGAGTTGCTCTTTAGATAAGCCAGTCTTCACATCCGTCGAGACATTCCTCTGTCTCAGTATATCAATAGCCGATGGATCCACTGAATCACTGATTAACACCTTATTGAGTGAAAACGAAGTCATTGTTTGAGTTATTGATTACTTGGAGAAACTTTTTGTTAAAAGAGGTAAACGATTGTGGACTCAATGGACACAAGTATGTGAAGAATGAACCAATCGACTGTAAAGCCTCACAATTTGTTAATTTTTCTCATTTATTATCATTAAAATAAATGTAAACTCTAAACCTCAAGGACAAATTTTTGAAGCAAACATATTCCCAAGGCTATGATTGAACATCACTGAACACTACACTAACTTACAGTATAGTCGATGAGAACAAACAATTTATCAATTCATCTGTTCGTTCAGACACTCAAATCAACTCATGCTAACCACCACCTCATACCTCATACACTGGTTTTGCATTTACTATAGTTTCACTTATTATATTGACTCAAATCAATTATTATATATATTATCACTCAACAAATATTTATATTTATTCCAAATTTGTACAAGTATTTATAATACTTTCTAGTTACAAAGTAAAGACATTTTGCAAAATGAAATTGGAGTCAGTATCAATTAATGGCTAATATAAGTTACCAAAACTTATGAGTATCTAACTATTAACTCTTTTAATATAATTCAAGTTTCATTATAATATAAATATTATGGTCATTTAGTGGTCATTAGTGGTATGGTGTTACACCATTGGTGTAGTCATTTAGGCTCTATCACTAAAAATGAACCTGGGTTGAATGAACAATTAAATTGAAGCTGTACTGTATACGGTACTAAATGAATGCCACGAGTTGTGCCATAATATGATTGTCTGAGAGAATGAGTACATACTGTAATTCATAAACTATTTTAAAATTGTATTATTGATGTAAATTGACTGTAGTGGGTCTGAGATCACATCACTGGACCAGTGACACTGGTTACGGATTTGTATGACAGATAATTGTATTGTCACGTGTATTACTTCCATGTGGATCAAGATTCAGTTATGACAATGCTTTCGATTGACTGTATATGTCATAACTGAACAAACACATACAGGTAATAAATAACCTTTGTGATGATTATGTATAACCAGCGTAACTATGATTAAACCAATCTACGAAATATAAATGGCATATGTCATTATGTCATGATGAAAATTTCTGGTTTACGTTTCAAAAATTATAAGAACTATAATTAAATTATAGTTAACTTTTATTCAAATGTAAAAGCTTTGCTCCAAAATATATAATGTTTAAAAATGAGTTATACGGTAATTAAAATTATTGCAATTCTTAATATATTACACTATCTGTTAATTAAATATATAAATAATACTTACAAATACAGTAATTGTAAGTTTTAAATAAAATTTAAATAATTTTCTAAATTTACAGTATTTTATATAAGTAATTGTTAATGTTATTTAACTATAGTAAAGTAGCGAAATAAATTATACAATAAATAAAATTGAGTTAACATTAATTACAATATATGGTGAATCTATTGATTGTAATAAATTAAATTAATTAAAATATTAAGGAAAGGACGGATTGAAAGAATTGTCATTAAGTAATAGACTTGTATTAATGGGTTTAACCATTAAGTGTTGACTAATTAATATAAGAGTTAAACTGAAACCATGGAAATTATTTAAAGTAATATTTCATCAATTAAACAGAAATTGGATTAAATTTCATTAATACTCGACATTACAATTAAATTTAAATACAATTAAAAATAAATCTATTGAATAGTGTTAGTATGATGGGAACGGGTGTCTAAGACATTCCAGATGTCATTGCCGTCAGCAAAGGGGTATAATTTAGCGTTGAATTGGGGATTAAGGGCCAGTCGTTTGTGAAGCGGATAACCGGTGCGGGCGAACACTCTGTCGTTATTCGTGAGTTTGAGTGCCGGACAGACGTCGTTGAGTCCGTCGCCCACATACGACACCCGAGAAAATTGCATTTTGTCCTCACTCTTGCGTTTACTTATGTAATCCATTAATACATATCCTTTGCACAGATTATGGGCAGATATATCGCACCAATTCTGGTCCTGATATTCTTCCACTTGAAGACATCCATTGCCATCAAATTTGGCCGGATTTGTGTAGACTTTGCTATTCGTGGATAAAATTACAAAATTATGTAATCGACTGTTATATCATTGCTTATGAACTGTTATAAATAGATAAGTATTAATAGCCTAAAGATTATGTGAACCCATTTTGCACCTGACCTTCAATTGTAGGCATAGTTGTAAGAATGCCCCAGTTCATCCAGAGCATATTACAATTATAATCTAAATTAACTTTCGCTCACAAATTTAAAATCTGATAATTTAATTGTAATAAACTTATGAATATAACTTATTTATAAACTTATCAGAACAATGTTAATCAGACCTCACTATTACCGGTACTATAATATGATATTAATCAGTCAGACTGACTAATATCAATCAGTCAATCAGTAATTTATGACAATAATGTTAAGTATAAGTCAATTGGTTGTTCACTTGTAAGGGTAGACATATGATAATAAGTATAAATACAATATATTAATAATACAGTAATTACAAAATGATAAGATTGTGAATACTATGTATAATTGCGAAATGCATTGCAATGTGACATAAATGAGAGATTAATACCGAAATGCTTTATCCATTTGATTGAATTCAAGAGACTGTCCGATGAATACAGTGTTTGCATCGGAAATGATTATCAATTCATACTTCTGTGGACCAGAGTTCTTGAGATTGAAGATGAGGTCTTTCATACCAGCGATGAGTGGCATTCGTTTGAGACAACTTCGGATCTGTTCTTCAGTGACACCCGTTTTGTGAAGATATGTGAGGACTTGCTTCATATAAGCGATCCAATTGTTGTGATCGTAGTATTTCTGAACAATCTCTTCGGGGATGACGCCATCGGTGGCCAATTCGTTGATAAATGTATCCGAATTGCAGTCAACTATAGTCTCGTCGAAATCAAAGACAACTAATTCCGGGCCGTCGATAGTCATGACCAGAGTTGGTACGAGTTATATGTTTGCAATGCTATACAAATGAACATTAAATCATGAATTGATTTCAATTGAAATATCCATAAAATGGTAGTTAAGAGCAAAATGTGATACAATTTGCACTTTCAATGTCTTCTCATTGTATATCATATGAGAAGTCCATTCCTATGACAGCATTCAGTGAGAGTTGCGTCAGATTCTGGTGTATGAGAAGTCTATGACTGCATTGCAAACTGGATTCAACCAGTTCTTCATCCATTCAATTCACTGTATACTATATACAGTACAAGTATTATGTCATACATACATACATATTGTATATTTCAAGTATATTCCACATACTCTACAGAGTCTACATTTCCCATCACCTCATCCCTTGCGCGCATGTATTCATTCATTGCGTCCATCACTAGAAACATTTGACACAAACTTTTTACAAGTTTTATAAAAGTTGTCCAGTCAATATAATTGACAACTTATTGAACAATAAGTCAGAATCTCATTTAATTTCCATATTTTCTTAACCCCTGATGAAGGCTCCGTTTAGGACCGAATCATTAACTCAAAATTCTAGATTATTTATAGAACTTTAGTAGTGATTCAGATTTCTCAATAAAGTAAAGTATAACTTCAACATCTTATCAAATTTGAAGTTTGAACAGTAATATCTGTAGTGAAAGTGAAGATCATTTGCATGAATGCCCACAACTATGATCTCCATCTGCTGTATACTAAATTGAATTTACTTAATTCTGTATTTATAATATAAAATTTACTATAATATTAGTTTAAATATAATTTATTAAATTTGGAAAATACTAGTATACGAGTACTTGTATGTGAGAGAATTGAATTCTAAAAGATTTGTCAATTATGATAGTCACTATAAAGGTCTTTTTACCACTAGATGTGGATGCTTTAGTAATTAATATCCACACAATCCATACTCAATCCACTGGTCTTGTATTCATAACTATTATATAACTGAAATGACTTACTCTTTACTTATTGTTAGCATTGAAAGCACAACAATTACTGTCAATTCTTTAAAATACCGGTACATACAGTATATGACAAACAGACACTAATTTTATAAATTTCTTAATTGCCAATAATTTGTAATACTTTGCACTAATAGAATCGAGAAAAAGTAAGTATGATGGTAGTACTGTACACTTTGTATATTATTAATATGGCAATACTGTAACATTAATAAGATAGGCCATGTGTAAATTAAGTATTCATAGTGTAATAATTTAGTTATTATAACAACTAAACTAACTTAGCAAATTGTAAGTCTCACACTCAAGTATAATGAATACAATACTTATGACATAAACATAACTTATTCTGTAACTCGTAGTGTAGTTAACTAAACACCAAGTTATCTACGGCGGTAAGTATACTGGTGAACAGATTTGTGATACAGTATATGATACACTTCAATTATTGCCACAAACAACCTTATGGTCATTCTTAAGAGATACCAAGCTAGATTAACAATTATTTGTTTATTAATACATTTAATTTGTAACTAATAACAGATCAGTATACAGTAAACACTATACACTATACAGTAAACGGATATACTGTATTATTATGACTGAACATAATTTAATTGTTACTATAAATAACTGAGCATAGCTATAACTGTACCAAGGTGATAAATTAGTTTATCTTTTGGAATAGTTAATAGTATTGTGATGTATTGCAAACATCCTTCTCATGGTTTGCATCAATATTGTAGTGAATATTCAATCACTCATTGACTCATTCACACAAACATTAATCAATTGCTTCTTAATATAAACACAAACTATTGATATATTCATATTAAATATGGTATATATTAACCAAAAGATTTCATTTGAATTGACAATTAGTTTGAAAGTATATAAAATGAGAGAGATCACCAAAAACATTGAATACAAGTAGAACCTAGTTGACTTGAACTGATACATAAAACTGTGTAATTATATGTTAGTATATGTGGTATATTTGGTGACAATGAATATAAGCCCACATTTATATAATGACTGCAATTATTTGCAAAGAAGAGATGGCAAGAGATTGATTGAACGCATTGTTCACGACTTACACGATAAGTAAGTATTTATATGTGTTTCACACAAAATGCAATCTAATTCAAGTAGAAATAGTTATTTTTGAAATCACAATGATCTCAATGTTGACCAATTTCAATCAAATGAATAATCAATTGACAAAGCTGTAACCAAAATGTAAATAATCAATTTGTTGTAAATGTTGAGACATTTTGACACAATTATGGACATCGGGTGTGGGACTGGGAATATAACCTCGGAATTGGCCGACAAGTTGTCATACAATCAAATGATTGGCATTGATATAAGCGATTCAATGATTGAATTTGCAAACAAACATTTTAAACAAAAATCAGTTAAATATTTGGCGGCAGATATATGTGAGGAATGGCCTAAACTGAGCGAAACACTCAATTTGACTGAAAAGAGCGTCGATTTAGTTATATCTCTATATTGTTTGCATTGGGTCTCCGATTTGGACGAAGCCATGAAAAATATAACAAAACTTCTAAAACCAGGTTTTATTTACATATTCAATGGTTTAGCGGAAATTTATATAAATATTGAAACCATGAAACAGGAGGTCATTGCTATGTATTGCTCTTCTCGTGGAGTGATTTCGAAGGGTAAGTCGTCTTTTACCGAAATTACCTGTTTACCGTCGTTATGAAGATGCGGTAGGGATTTTTAACATCCGTAATAATGTGGATTATAGATTATTTAATGATTTGAATATTTAATAAAGTATCATCTCATCATATCATACATTATAGTTTGCCTAAGATATTACTAATTGTTATTAACTCTTGAAATACGTTGACATATAGGGACCAAAATTAACCAAAAATCTCGAGAAACAATTCGCAGACTAAGTGAACATTTGGCTCCATTTCCTGTGTTTGAACCGCCAAAAGAGGATCAATTAGTGGCCAAATGGCAACAGATTTGTTTAGACAATGGCTTATTGGTGTCCGAAACTGTGCTAACTCATACTTTCTATCAATTTGACTGTCTCAACCAATTTCGAAGTTATTATTAAATTGTTTCTAAATTCAAACATTATAACTATATATTTGAAAAGTACTCTCTAAACACACATTTAATTCAATATTTAGATGTATTGCAAGCGATGTGTCATTTCCTGCCATTCATTCCCGAAGACAAAAGGGACGAGTTTTTGAGTGAATACTTGCAACTCGTGGACGACCTCTATATCGCCAAACAGTTTGACACCAAAGAACTCACTGATGAGAGTCCTGTTCGACTCAGTTATGATAACATCGTTGTGGTGGCCGTCAAACACATCTAATGTGCCATTTGTTCACATATTATCATATAGTTTAGCAATGCCTTCAATAGTAGCCACAGCCATACAGAGTACCACCACTTTATCACTATAGAACTTCACACTTCTAATTGTTATTTATATGTATCTAATATAATCTTATTATTAGTTCATTATATAAATACTATAAATATAATGTGGTATTACTCGCAATTTATTTAATTTATTCTATGGAATGGTTTAAGCATGGGATTAAGCATGGCCACGTATAATTGCATGTTATTTAAATTAAAAAACTTTGCAATTTACAATCATATTTAAAATAGATTAATAAAATTCAATGCACTAATATAGAACTTTAAAAAATACAATTAAATCAATAAATATAATTCAATTTTACAATATATTTCCACAATACTGAAGATTATTTTACAAGTATTTTATTGATAAAGAAAATGTGCTGAAATGGCTTATAGTATAATATTGCCTTAATAGCTAAACATTTGTCAACAAATCTGCAAAAACACAGAAAAGTTTAAATTGAAAAAGTTTTAAAATGTTTGTTAAAAAATAATATTTTATAATTTAAAAAGGTAAATATTTTTTTTTATAAAAATGTAAACTTCAGCAAAAATAAGTCATATTATTATTACTTATATGGCATATAAGAGTAATAAAAAATACTGTATAACCGTATAACCCAACTGTAAGACCCAATCTGTGCAATTTAAAGGTTATATAATACTACTGTACAATGTAACTACATTATTAATATTAATATTATTAGATATTGTTAATTTTACTGAATAACTTATTAATATATTAATACTTTATAAAGTCGACCTAATTATTTTATAAAATAATAAATAATATTTTAATACAACAATTTAAAATTAAAATAAAATTGACCGACCTCCTCTCCCCCACCCAGTGTGGACAGTATGTGCTTATTGAATGATCCTTAAGATTATCACTTATAAAGCCATTTAATTGCATTTTAATGTCAATAAATTAAATAAAAATGGTTCAATTTGGCTAAAGTATTCTTATACAGTACAGTATTATTGTTCAAAATTTGGAATAAATATGATAAGAATAGAGAGTTATATTACTCTAAAAGTTGTGTTACTGTACTGTACTGTACTGTACTTTGTGCTCATATAACATGTATGTAATACAGTAGGAAAGAAGTGATAACTGACTGAATGGATGCAGAGTCTGGAGAAGTCCTTATTAATTATAATGAGAAAAGTCGACTCATATTTGATGCCCCGATAATTACATTGAAATCATAGACAATAGGTGTTCTTTGAATGTATTGAGGAATTGAAATATAAGTAATTTACTAATTTAAATGTATGTTCAAATATGTAATTTGAAATGAATGGTTACTCTTAAGGGTTGTCACTCATCACACAACACAACACTCTCAATACAAATCGATGAAATGAAATACATTTACAGTAAAAGTGTTCAAATAAATGTTACTTTGAGTGTGAGTTGTTAAGTTTATATTGAATCTTAACTTTCCTATGACAAAATAATTAATTTGCTTTAAAATTGTACCTATTTGATCATTAAAATATAAAATAGTTTTATTTCATAAGCAATTCAAATAAGAAAACTATTCATTGAATTCAAAATATCTGTATTTAAAACAGATTAAATATTTTATTAAATAAAATACTGTATTTGTATTAAAGTAGTGTTAGAAAGAACCTTAAATATAAGTTTCATTGCTATAGAAATAAATTAAAGATTTCGTTAAGTGAAGCAAATCTTTTGGGAGAAATTCGTTTTAAAAGTGTTAGAAATCATAGTTTCGTTGAGAACTAAATAAATTGAATTCATTTCAAAAGAAAAAATGTTATTTTCATGGACTCAACGAAAAGCGAAATTCAGACTTTCTTTGACTTTTT